TGAGGTCCCCAACTCTCTGCTTACTTCCCTTTCCTTTTATCTCATGTAAGATAAAAGGTGGTGTAGGCCACACCCCAGGGAAACTCCCTTTACCTTGGATCAGGGATGTGACCTTAGTAAGGGTGTTACAATCCCACCCTAATCCTCTTCAACATAAAATTACAATCACAAAATGGAGGACAACCACGTAATACTGGGAATCATGGCCCAGCCAAATCAGTACACATATTTTTTGGGGGACATAATTCAATCCATGACAATGCATAAATCATAAATGTAGAGTTTAATAAATGTATAAAGTGTATAAAGTAAACACCTGTGTAACCACTTCCCCGGGTAAGAAATAGAACATTACCAGCACCTTAGAGCCACCCTGTGTGTCTTTTCCCCATCATAATCCCCTCTGCCCTGACTTTTTCCGTAATCATTTCCTTTCTCATCTTTATTGTTTTGTATGTGGGTATTCTCTAATCAAATTTAGATTACCCTCTTCTTGAACTTTATATAAAAGGAAACATGCATGTATTCTTTTGTGTCTTGCCTCTTTTGTCCAATATTATGTTTGTATTTCATCCATGTTTTTGTATGAGACTGAAGTTCATTCATTCTGTTGTATGACTGCACCAAATGTTTTTTATCCACTTTACTACTGATAGATAGTTGGGTTATTTTCAGTTCATCTAGTTATTCTGAAACATATATATCCAGAAGTGGACGACTAGGGGAATCCTTTTAGCAGACGTTTACAAAACTGGGTGAATTAGTTTGGTGAATAATAGTACCAGGGAATTAGGGAAAAAATGTTGGTGCCCAGAAACAAAGATGGATGGTGTGGGGCGCAGGTTCTCAGAAAGTTCTCTCTGTGCGCATTCTCCAGTGGTAAGGAATTGTAGGTATATTCAGTTTAGACTTTGGTTTGTCAGTAGCTAGAGAGTAATCGAAGAGAATGCTGTTCTGTGGGCATTATCATCCACCGCACTTGAGTGATGGATAACTTACTGTATTTCTCCAAGATGTATGTTTAGAATTTCATGTGTTTGTACCAAGTAAATAGGAAATTTTCCATGAGAAAAATGGGAGGAAAAATAGTAATTCTATTTCTTTTCCTCTATAGAAATTCTTTGTTTTGTGTTGATTTACTAACCAAGGGTTGGTTAGGCTTACTATTCAATAGCTTAATTTGAAATGAAGGAAAGAGAATATTACAGGAAAATGCAAATTTTATGACATCATATTCCAGTTTAGACTAGAAATCCTAGTTCAGATTGAATATAAATGTATAAAATACCTTTATGATTGCTTCTGAGTTATCATTTAAACCTGGAGATTATGGAAAGTGTGGCCTTTGATGTATAGGAGATATCTAAATGTTAAAATTATATAGCATCTATTTAGTGTCTCTTCTGTTCAAGTCAGAATGCTTTGATTATAGCGTTTATTTAGCTCGTCTATTTAGCTTGCCCGGGCTTGATGAAAGGAGTTAAGTGGTGTGTAGATATGGCATTGAAGACCCACCTGGTTTCTTCACTATAAGAAGCCTTAAGGGAAATATTTAAGATCTTCAGTTGTGTGTTAGAGGTTTTGGCATTATTGAGGGGGTTTTAGCGTTTAGGGAGGGTTTGTGTGTGTGTGTGTGTGTGTGTGCACGCGCGCACGCCAGAGGTATCCCAATTCTGATTTCAGTGTTGAGGGCATAGTGAGTTGGAGGAAAAGCACAGCAGTAACTGTTTGAAAATACTGGCCCATAGCAATGAAATTTTTCTCTAGGTTACTCTTTCCTATATATAATGTTCATAATATTTTTTTGAGTTTTAGTCATTTCATATAGAACTTTTTCAAATTTGTTCTAGTACCCACTGAAGACTAATAATATTCTAGCACTGTACTCACAAAGCTAAGATTTAAAAATATGTGAATGAAGATAAAAACATTAAGGAAAACATAGGACCATATCTAGGAGAAGCATAGGAAACCACAAAGTGAAGGCCAGAAGTATATTATATCTGACACTTTTAAGTATGTATGTATTCATTCTTTCATTTGTGCATTCATTCCTTTTTTTGGGAGAAAGTAGATGATTTATTGAATAGCCAGTGATTTTTTTCTTCAAGCATAAAGATTATGAGGGAATTAATAGAGGGGACTGTTGGAGAATCAGAAAGCACCTCCATATCTAGATCTCAGGGATTATTAAGCTGCTTAAGCATTTCCGAAGAAGAACTGATGCCTTTGAATTAATGGTGTTGGCAAAGAATATTGAATATATTATGGACTGCCAGAAGAACAAACAAATCCGTCTCAGAAGAAGTACAGCCAGAATGCTCTTTAGAAATGAGGATGGCGAGACTTTGTCTCATGTACTTTGGACATGTTATCAAGAGGAACCAGTCCCTGGAGAAGGACATCATGCTTGGTAAAGTAGAAGGTCAATGAAAAAGAGGAAGACTCTCAAGGAGATAGATTGACACTGTGGCTGGAACAATGGGCTCGAACATAGCAATGATTGTGAGGATGACGCAGGGCCGGGCAGTGTTTTGTTCTATTGTATGTACGGTCACAGGGCCGGGCAGTGTTTTGTTCTATTGTATGTAGGGTCGCTATGAGTAGGAACCGATTTGATGGCACCTGACAACAACAAGTGTTTCTGGGAAGAAGAGTTTTTGGAGATGGTATCCAAATTCCAAATTGCTATGCATTATTATATAAAACCTTCTAAAATGTAGGAATGTAGTGGTAAAACATTACACCGTGGATAGATGCTTTGGTGTATTTACTCCAAATACAGCAAAAGCCATGCCTCCCTTTGTAGCCATGGAGTTTGCCTTGTTAAATAGGATCTTGTATTTCCAGTTTTTCTGACAGTAAGCTCGCTGATAATCCAAACAATTGAGAACCTTTCACTGCCTCCCTTGTTTCATACTTTACCTTTCCCAAGAATACTGAGTCACAGAATAAAATCTTAAATTACATAATTGTCAAAAATAGGAAAGGCTTCAGAGAGACTTAAAAAATGTTCAAAAGGGTTTGGTTTATCAATGGAAGACTGTAGTCTGGTTCAATTTTTGTTGTTGTTCTTTTGTTTTCTTCCATCAAACAAATCAGTCTCCTAGAGGCATTAAATCTTGTCTGTTCATCCATACTTATGTTCTCCTTTGATGACTGGCATAATAAATTTTATTAATGGCACGTTTGGAGAGTAAGTTAAATGACTTGCCCAGATCTTAAAGAAATCAGTGATAAGATACATCTGTTGGTCCATCCTATCCAGAGCAAAGGAGAATGAAGAAAACCAAAGACACAAGGAAAATATTAGCCCAAGGGACTAAAGAACCAAATGAACCATACCTGAGCCCAGAAAAACTAGATGGTACCCGGCTACCACCACTGACCACTCTGACAGGGATCACAATAGAGAGTCTCGGAGAGAGCCGGAGAAAAGTGTAGAACAAAAATTTACATTCACAAAAAAAGACCAGACTTTCTGGTCTGACAGAGTCTGGAGGAACCCCCGAGCTATGGCCCTCAGACACCTTGCTAACTCAGAACTGAGGCCATTCCCATACCCACTTTTCAGCCAAAGATTAGACAGGCCTGTAAAACAAATGATAATGCTCATGAGGAACATGCTTTTTAGTTCAGTCAAGTATACGAGACTGTCATGGATTGAATTGTGTTCCCCAAAAATATCTGTCGACTTGGCTGGGTTATGTTTCCCAGTATTGTATAATTGTGTACCGTTTTGTAATTTGATGTGATTTCCTTATGTGTTGTAAATTCAGTCGCTGTGAGCTAATAAGATGGATTAGCGGCAGTTATACTGATGAGGGATACAAGATTGGATAGTGTCTTAAGCCAGTCTCTTTTGAGATATAAAAGAGAAGTGAGCAGAGACACAGGGGAACCTCATACCACCAAGAAAGTGTGCCGGGAGCAGAGTGCATCCTTTGGACCTGAGGTTCCTGCACAGAGAAGCTCCCAGACCAGGGGAAGATTGATGACACCGGACCTTCCTCGAGAGCCAACAGAAAAAGCATTCCGTTGGAGGTGATGCCCTGAATTTGGTCTTGAAGCTTACTGGACTGTGAGAGAATAAACTTCTCTTTGTTAAAGCCATCCACTTGTGGTATTTCTGTTATAGCAGCACGAGATGACTAAGACAGAGACTAAATGGGCAACTCCTGCCCAAAGGCAAGACGCGATGGCAGGAAGGGTTGGGAAGACTAGATAATGGACATGAGGAACCCGGGGTAGAAGGGGGGAGACTGCTGACGTATTGCGGGATTGCAACCAATGTCACAGAACAGTTTGTGTATAAATTCTTGAATGAGAAACTAATTTGCACTGTAAAGTTTCACCTAAAGCACAGTAAAATTAAAAAAAAAAAAATCAGCGGGCTGTAGTAAGATCCTGTGAACAATCGAATTCTCCTGCTCCTAGAACTAGCTCTAAAAAAGAGGTAAGAGTATATAAGATTTTTAGGTATAACTTAGACTTTGGAAGGAGACCAGGAGGATTCGAGTCTGTTTCTGTTGTTTAACCTTATGTACGGTTCTCCAAGTCTCTGCTTCTTCATCTTTAAAATGTGAAAAATAATAGTACCTAATTCATAGGATTGTTTTGAGGAATACATGAAAAGACGCATATAAAATACTTATTTAGCATTGTGTCCAGAATATAATGAATACTCAACATGTGGTTTAAAAGAAAAAAGTTCCTGCACGCATTGGGTCTGTACTGCTCTGCATCTTTTTCTTATCCTTTGAGTATTTCAGTCTCCTCAGTTCTTCTGAGGGAATAACTGTTGGCATTAAAGATGGAAAGTCCTCCCATGGTCTCACTGTGGGCAGCATCTAGAAACTGGTGCTTTCCCTAAAGCAGAATTAATTGGTTCCCAATAACCCCGAAGACTAGTAGATACATAGATAAGATGAAATTGATAAGATTTTTAAAGAATTTTCTCTTCTATATTATTCCTTCCCATTATTTTTTTAAACAGTGCCTTTGAAGATGAGACCATGAAGCTTCGGCAGCTGAAACTGGATAATCAGGTGAGCAGAGTCTCCTGTTTTGAAGTCGCTGGATGGCTATAATGACCGTGATGCTGATGGTCTTGACTCTGAAGCCTTGGCAGGGGGATGAAAAGAAGACTGGAAAGCAAAAGCCTCTGATGGTTGGTTGCTCATTAAGCAGGGTCTGGAGTTAGTATTTGCTAAGCTAAGGCTTGGGGCAATGGCAAGACCAAAGTGCTTTGAGGACATCAGCAGTAAAACTGGCCTTGGATTTATAATCACTGGAAGTTCCTTGGCAACTTTCATAAGAATTGGAAGAATGTTAACATTGTATTTCTATGTAGTAATTTGGTTCTGCTGCCTTAAATACCTCTCTACACTGTAATTTCATCTAACTCCAAGATCGTTTCTTATCCTAAAATACAGATCTGAACATACTACTTTGCTGCTTAAAAACCCCCATTACCCACAGAATAATTTTCTTTACAGTACCAGTCCCAATTTTCAGTTACACATTTATTTTTTGCAATTATTTGATTTATGTCTGTCTCCCCACTAGACTAAGCACCATGAGAACAGGAACCAAGTCTGTTTTGGATGACAGTTATACTGAAGTTCCTAGCCTGGGGCTGGGCACATAATAATCCTTCATTAAATATTTGAGTGAAGGAGGGAATAAATGAACAGTTTTGTGTTGTTGCTTGCTATGACCATCATGATCAGGCAACTTAGAACCTATACCAACACACGTTGCTTTCATACTTACTTTTTCACATGAATTTTTTCTAATTCAGGAAATTCTATAGCCCTGTCTACCTATGTAGCATCACTGACAGTGTCTGGACTCCATAGGTGACTAAAACTATCTCTAAAGTCTTGTCTTGTTTCTTTCTGTTGCTGGTGGAATTAATAAATGAGACTTCTAACCTAGTAAGTTGCTTTAAAGATGGAATTATTTAAAACTAGGAAAGAAACGAGTCTTCCTGGGATCATGAGGAAAATTCTGATTAGTTCTTACATATATTCGTGTGCGTATGTGTGTGTGTGTATAATTTTAAAGACCAGAATAATTGTGATGAGCCCTTTATTTTCCACATTCCATGGTATAGAAAACTATTTAGAGAGAAATGACCACAAATTTTTAGATCATTGTTTATTTTTATTTATAGGCATCCTAATGTTATAATGCCATATGGTATGTCCCTTGCCAACATTAAATGAAATCTATGGTTCAGCTACCAAGTACAGGTAGTCTCTGACTTACGACATATTTTAGTTATGATGAACTGCACTTAGGACAGTCTTTTTTTTTTGTACATCTTATGGTTAGTAATATGTACTACATGCAATGTTAAAATGTATCTATAAGTTTGTATGTAAGGTTTCCAACCCCTAAAGACAAATGAAGATTGGATTTATAAAGGTAGTGATAATAAAAGGCAATAATAATGAAAACTTAAAAAAAAAAAAAAAAAGATTCACCTCAGACGTCAGAACTTACTTACCACAGAGTAGTCAGAACAGAACCCCGTTGTAAGCTGGGGACTACCTGTAATGATATGAGACATTAGCTTTTCAAATTTCATATATAGATATCATATTTTCTGGATTTTTTTAATATAGCCCCAATTTTTTGGAATTTTTTTTCTTTTCAGTGAGAATATGTGGTACATGTGTGGTATAAATTTTGAGACTTTTGTAAACCTTTTTATAGCATAGATTTTAAAGAAGAATTTTGTTTTTTTATGTAGGTAATACAAGCATATGTTAAGAATTTGAGTACTGTATTTTTACGCAAATAACACATGGGTCTATGTTTGCAGACCACACTCTCCCCTCCCCCGAAGTATTTTTTTAAGTGTGCTATGCTAATTTTTTTTACAGCAACTCTTAGGAAAATACCTTGGCGGGGGGAAAGGTGTGGCTGGCAAACCAACGTAGAAGGCACATGTTATTTGCATAAAAATATGGTAATACAAAAAAGATATTAGGTGAAAAGTAAGTCTCTCACCCTCCACTTGGCTCAATTCTTTACCAGAGGTTGTCATCAGCTTCTAATGTATCCTTCAATGAATATAAAGATATAAGTTTCAATGGGAATTTTTAAAAAATTAGGGAAAAAATCCCTTTTGGACTTCATGTATTAATTTTGGTGTTAAATAGTATTTGAGAATACTGTTAAAAAGCCAGAAGACCAACCCGTTGCCATCAAATCGATTCTGACTCATAGCAACCCTGTAGGACAGAGTAGAACTGCCCCCTAGGGTTTCCAAGGAGCAGCTGGTAGATTTGAACTGCTGACCTTTTGGTTAGCAGCCAAGCTCTTAGAGCGTAAGAGGGAGGTTACCCAACAGGGGTAAGCGAGTTTCCACAAATACAGGCTGAGCGTTCAAATGCTGTGTAACAAGAAAGGCAGGACTACATAATAAAGTATTATAAAGAAGGAGAACAGCACTGGGCTGGAAATTTGCCTATCCAATATGTATTTTACAAACAGATTCATTGAGATATAATTCACATACCATAAGTATACACCCATTTAAATTGTACAATTAAATAGTTTTTAGTATATATTTTATATATTTGGTATTCAGTATATTCACAGAGTTGTTCAACCAGCACTACAGTCCAATTTTAGAACATTTTCATTACTCCAAAAAAGAAACTTCATACCCATTAGCAGTTACTCCCTATTCCTCCTCCCACCACGCCCTACCCATTGCCATCAGGATTCCGACTCATAACAACCCTATAGGACAGAGTAGAACCACCCCATAGCGTTTCTGAGGAACAGCTGGTAGATTTGAACTGCATACTTTTTGGTAAGCAACTGAGTTCCTAACCACTGTGCCACCAGGGCTCCAACCCCCACCCAGCTCTGGGAAACCACTAATCTGCTTTCTGTCTCTATAGATGTGGTCTGTATGTATCTTGTGTCTGCCTTCTTTGATTTAGTGTAATGTTTATAAGGCTCATCCATGTTGTAGCATATGTCAGTACTTCATGCCTTTTTATTGTTGAATAAAATATTCCACTGTATGGATATACCACATTTTATTTATCCATTCATTAGTTGATGGACATTTGGGTTGTTTCCACTTTTTCACTATTATAATTAGTGTAGCTATGAACATTTGTTTACAAGGTTTTTGTGTGGACATATTTTTTTCATTTCTCTTGCACGATATATATAGAATTAGGATTGCTAGGTCATATGGTAACTCTACGTTTAACATTTTGAGGAACTGCGAGACTGTTTTCCAAAGTGGCTGCATTATTTTACATTCCCATCAGGAATGTATGTGGGTTCTGATTTCCCCATATCCTTGCCAACACTTGTTAGTGTCTGTTTTTATATTTTTTTTTATAGCCCTTTTATGGGCTATGAAATGGTATTTCATTGTAGTCTTGATTTGCAGTTCTCTAATGACTAATGATGTTGAGCATCTTTTTATATGCTTAGTGGTCATTTATATATCCTCTTTGGAGAAATGTCTATTCAAATCCTTATGCTCATTTTTAAATTGGGTTACTTGTCTTTTTATTGTTAAGTTGTGTTTTTCGTATATTCTGGGTCCAAATCCCTTATCTGATATATGATTTGCAAATATTTTCTCCCATTCTGTGGGTTGTCTTTTTTTTTGTCTTGTTACTTGCTTAATGGTATCCTTTGTGGCCCAAAAGTTTTATCTATTTTTTCTTTTGTCCCTTGTACTTTTGATGTCATGCCTAAGAAACCATTGCCTAACCCAAGGTTACAAAGACTTCCTCCTATGTTTTCTTCTAAGAGTTTTATGGTTTTATCTCTTTATACTTTGTATGATCCATTTTTAGTTAATTTTTATGTATGGTGTGAGTTAGGGGTCCAGCTTCATTCTTTTCCATGTAGATATCCAGTTGTCCCAACACCATTTATTGAAAAGACTATTTTTTCCCATCCAATATATTTTGCTTTTATTTTCACTAGTTTTAGTAGGGTACACTTATTTTCAGGGCATGTAGGCACCTTAACTGGCTACAGAAACTTAAAATTTTTAGGTTCTTCCAGTGACATTACCCAGACATGGATACACAGTAGGTAGAGAACATTTATGCTATCTTGTGGAAAATAGATTAAAGTGCAACATAGCCCCTTTGGGCGGGGTTGTCTTGCCCATACCCTCTGAAAGGATGTGGTTATCAGTGCACTGAGTTGATATTTTAAGGGTCCTGATTTAAAACTTTTGGTCTTGCCATTCTATGATCGCACATTGTGTGCCAGTGAAGTGAGTTATTTTTAGCTAAATTGATAAACCCTAGGCAACCATTGTGATCTTGCTGGTTGTACCTTGTAGTCAGTTTATTCCAAGAGTGTCATAATGTAACTCCAGCCCATCATCTTCTAGGGAATACTTGGAAAACTGAGAATCAGTGGAGCCAAGCTATCATTAATTTGAGGCTTGCCTAAGCTTTATTGTTTTATTGAAGTCCTTTGAAGCCCCAGTGATAGAAAGTTTTTTCCCTATCTAAACCAAACCCATTGCCATCAAGTCAATTCTGACTCCTAGCGACCCTATAGGACAGATTAGAACTGCTCCATAGGGTTTCCAAGGAGCCCCTGGTGAATTCAAATTGCTGTCCTTTTGGTTAGTAGCCAATCTCTTAACCACTGTGCAACGAGGGCTCCTTTTTCTTCTGTCTAATCTCCTTTATTTCTTCATCATTTGTTTCGGCATCACCATTCGATACTTTGCCACTAGGGAATAGTAAGACATCACTAGAAATTGGAGATGATGAATTCTTTGAGTTATTGTTCAATTCCCAAGAGCACTGGGAAATTTCAAGGTGATTAAATTTTAGTTTATATGACACTTAAAATTCTGAAGGCCACGTATTTTAGTTGTGTTTAAGGCACCTAACAGTCAACTTTAGTGCTCTTCCTGACTCCCCTGAGCTTCTCCTAACTTTGTAAGAAATCCTTTGTTTATCTAGCCTCATTTAAAGCACTGTTAGCTTTTCAGGGAAGAGTAAAACATAACGTGTGAGTTGTCATCGTTAAATTCAAACTCAATTAGTACCTCTCTTCTTCTCACCTAGACTATGTGAGGGTGTTAGAATGCTAAATTAGGTGACAGTTTTCACCAAGATGGCAGTTTTCCAATATGTAGATATTTTGTGATTTATTTATTTATTTATTATAAAATTTGACAGTAGCGTTGTTGTTGTTAGGTGCTCTCAAGTTGATTCCAACTCATAGTGACCCTATGTGCAACAGAAAGAAACACTGCCCGGTCCTGTGCCGTACTCATGATCATTGTTATGCTTGAGCCCATTGTTGCAACCACTTTGTCAGTCCATCTCATTGAGGGTCTTACTCTTTTTCGCTGACCCTGTACTTTACCAAGCATGATGTCCTTCTCTAGGGACTGGTCCCTCCTGATAACACGTCCAAAGTATGTGAGACGAAACCTCGCGATCCTCACTTCTAAGGAGCATTCTGGCTGTACTTCTTCCAAGACAGATTTGTTCATTCTTCTGGCAGTCCATGGTATATTCAGTATTCTTTGCCAACACCATAACTCAAAGGCATCAATTCTTCTTTGGTCTTCCTTATTCATTGTCCAGCTTTCGCATGCATATGAGGCAATTAAAGACACTGTGGCTTGGGTCAGGCACACCTTAGTCCTTAAAGTGACATCTTTGCTTTTTAACACTTTGCAGAGGTTTTTTGCAGCAGATTTGCCCAATGCAGTATGTTGTTTGATTTCTTAATGCTGCTTCCATGGGTGTTGATTGTGGATCTAAGTAAAATGAAATCCTTGATGACTTCAGTCTTATCTCTGTTTATCATGATGTTGCTTATTGGTCCAGTTGTGAGGATTTTTTGTTCTCTTTATGTTGAACACCTAATAATGCTCATGAGGAACCTGTACATAGGTCAAGAGGCAGTCGTTCAAACAGAACAAGGGGATACTGCGTGGTTTAAAGTCAGGAAAGGTGTGCATCGGGGTTGTATCCTTTCACCATATTTATTCAGTCTGTATGCTGAGCGAATAATCCGAGAAGCTGGACTGTATGAAGAAGAAAGCGGCATCAGGATTGGAGGAAGACTATTAACCTGCGTTATGCAGCTGACACATCCTTGCTTGCTGAAAGTGAAGAGGACTTGAAGCACTTGCTGATGAAGATCAAAGACCACAGCCTTCAGTATGGACAACAGTACAATATACTTAATGCTATAATGTAGTAGCTATGGTCCTGAAGTTTACAGTTTGAATCTACATTTTTTTTCCCTTAAAATTATTGATCTAAATTGATGTGAGTGGCGTTGAAGTAAAAAGAGAAAGGTTCCACCAAATACCTTGGTAGGATCGCTGTGATCCAGAGTCTAGTCCTTGCTTTACAGGTCTAAGAACTTGGTTTTGTCAGTGAACCTAGACGTAACCAGGTTCTTAGGCACAAACTCACATTAGACAAACTCAAAATAGTCAATTGTAAAATTAGAACACCAGTTTATTAATTTACAGTGGGAACTCTACTCTTCTAGTGTATATTCATCTCCACTGTCCAGGATACTCTGTTTCTGGGAATGTTGTACCTAAGAAGTTAAACTGAAAATTAGAAGGCTGATCAATGAGCAAGAAATCAGAGTTAACAAAATTAGATAGTCCCAAGGGATATTTCATCTAGGCCATGAAGAAGCCTTATATAGTTTCATGTCCTCAAAGAGAGTCAGCTCTCCTAGTAAATAGAATACTCTTGTCTACCAAATTCAGTATTTCTCTTTCTCAGAGAGTCTGGATAAGCTCTGTCAAACTCTAGCTCTTTGGCTCCCTTTTTCTAGACCATAACTAGAATACTCCTTTTATAGAACATTCTTTCTTTATGTGTGTTAACAAAATAAATTAGGCTGCAGTTTGTGCTTTTGTATCATCAGTCATTTCACAGTTGTGAGATTGTATGAGACTAAACAGCTGTGGTCATAGAGGCAAGATGTGGCAGTTTCTCATGTTTTCTTTGCTTCATATTTACCATCTCTTCAAGTGGGTTACTTCTTATTCATTATGTAAGACTTCTTAGTTGTTAGATAGAACCTTATCAACAAGTTCCAGAAGGAGCACCCAGTTATAGCCTCCTGCTATAACATTTACATTAAAGTCCTTTTACTCGTGTTAACTCAGACAATAATCACAAAACCTCAAATCCCAATTATTTCTTCCCAATTTGCTCTAGCCTGTATGCATTCTTGATGGTATAGTCTATGCTGGCATATTATCTTAGCTCTTCAGTCTTTCTTCTGTACACAAGCTGAAAAAGAATAGTTCTGTTTCTCCTGTGTCTTCTGAAATTGTTTACATGCTTTTATCAGCTCAGGTCAGGAAAAACATACTTCCTTCCGTACTGATAGTCTTACCCCTTGGAGTGACTTTTCTTCCTAGCAGTGCTTTTCTGAAGCAATATCAGTGGGAAAAAGTGAGTAGATGGCTTTTTACCTGAGAAACATAGTAAGTAGGTTATAATATTGTTGTTTTTTAGTTATGGCTTTTTCTTCCCACTTTGGGCTTGGCACTTTTCCTATTCTGAGATAGCCCAGATCCATAATAATTTCTATGTGTTATAAGCTCTTGCTTGCCAAAGTTTAAAAATAGTACATACACTAGTACCTTCCTTTCTGTCTCATTGGATATTTTTCTTGTAGTCTCTCAGGCTTCTTCTTGACTTTTCTTGCTCCGTATTCTTTATCTTAGTTTCTGTATGTAGAATTGATTGCCTTCTATTTGGAATGTTCCAATTGCCATTTTCTTTCTTTTTACCCTTGGCCCTAATTTGTTTGATTTCTAATTATGTAAAATGAGCAAGAAAGCAAAATCAAAAGTTATTGTCCTTTAGCTGATTAAAACATGAAAATAATTTGGTGTTTAGAGGATAATTTTTATTCCTCCAATTACAAAAGTAAGAAAATTTGGAAAATATAAAAAACTAGAAAAAAGAAAATAATCATCCATATTCTACCACCCAGAGAAATCACTGTTGCTGTGTTCCTCCATTTTTTTCCCCCAATGCATATGTATTTATATATCTTAAACTTGTGATTATGTTTTGATAATAATATGGTAATTACCATATATATTTTCAATAGACTTGCATCATGGCCTCAGCTTGGCTAGCAGCGTATCATATGATTTTAAATAGATCTTTATAGATATTTAATAAGTATTAAATGAATGAATGAATCCTTGCTCTTCTCTATGCCCCAGTTTTCCCAATTCTTAAGTGGAAAAAATTAATTCACAAGAGGTTTTGTGAGAAAAACAAGCTGGAAATGTTTTAAGTGCCTAGGTCTTACCATTACTCTTCTGGCTGTAATTTCACTTTTTTTTTTTCTAGAGAGCACTGCTGGAGAAGAAGCAGAGAAAAAAGCGCCTTGAGCCACTCATGGTACAGCCAAACCCAGAAGCCAGGCTACGTCGCTCAAAGCCAAGAGGTAGTGAGGAGCAAACTCCTCTAGTGGAACCTCATACCCCTCACAATGATGTCATCCTACATGGTGTGTATTTAGGCAGCATTTCTTCCCACCATAGTACAGTCTTCACAAATCTAGGAGAGGGCAGGAGGATTCTCAGATGGACCAAAGGAACAAAATTAGCATTGTTACTAGATACTTTCATACATCTTTATAATCACCTTCTGATTCTTTGAGTTAGAATGAAAGCAGTGGTTTAGTCAGTGGAAGATACCTCAGAGTTCATGTCCATCCTAGAACTGTTGTTTTAGATGCCAAATGAATTAGTCCAGAATAGCCTGTTTGAGGGGTTTACAGTCTTACTAAAGAGCCTGGTGATGCAATAGTTAATCATTTGGCTGCAGACTGAAAGGCTGATGGTTCAAACCTACCCATTGGCTCTGTGGGAGAAAAGACCTGGCAATCTGCTTCTGTAAAGATTACAGCCAAGAAAACCCTATGGGGCAGTTCTGCTCTGTCACAGTGGGTTTCTATGAGTTGGAATCGACTCAGCGAGTGGCACTCAACAACAACAACAACACAGTCTTAATTATTATACCACGGCAGAGGTTACCTGTGAAGCCAGGAGTGGGTAGAGAGTATCCATTCTTCCAAAAGCTAGGACTCAAAAGTATTATCTGAGATGGTTGGGGGGTTAAGGAAGAATAGGATTAAGTGCCTCTAAACCAAGCTCCCTGAGCTGTTGGCTTGGACAGGATCTGTACTATGGACGATCTATTTTATTTTCTTGGTTGCATTCTTAAGTTTCTAAAGCACAGCACTAAGTACAGGTTACTTTAGTAACAGTCAGAGCATGTTAATAAAATGAACACCAGTACTGGCCTGCTTTATTAACAAATGTCCTGGCAGATGTTAAGAAGGAGATGTGAAATTCTTTGCACATACACCACAACCACCCATTGAAATAGTGGATAACACTTCCCTCTCTTTTCTTTTCTTTGGGCCCCTAGGCATTGACGGTCCAGCTGCCTTCCTGAAGCCAGATACTCAAGATTTGGAAACCAAACTGCATGTTCTCTCAGTAGGCTCTTCTGCTATGGAAGAGGATACTGAAGAAAGCTTCGATGGGGAAAGCATGTTGGATACTGCTTCTAAGCCAGATCTTCAGGAGATTCTCCAAAAACATGGTAAGGATTGGTAATGATTTTAAGGCGATTCGTCTTCTTAGTCACTTGTAATCTTTTCCTTTTATGTTGGCTAAAGTTGATCTCGATGACTCAAGATTGCTTATAGAATGGGTTGGGGCTTTAAAGAGGTGACAGTATTAAGCATCTTTGACATCTGAGTATTGGTCATGGTCAACAATAAAAGTATTTATCCTGTTGCCTGGAAGAGAAGCTGGTCATTTCAGAGTGACTAGAGCTCAGAGTGTGAGGTGATAGGGTAGGGGGGAAGGGAATGTAGAGAGATGACCCTAGAGTAGTAAATGGGCTTTAAGTATATAGGGCCTTATAGGCCATATTAAGGAATTTCTACTTTATCTGAAGAATAGTAGGAACTTTTGAGGGATTCAGAGCTGAGGAATGATGTGATCAGATGTGAGCTCTAGAAAAATTACTCTGCCCCATAATGAATGAATTGGAGAAAGGCAAGTCTGAAAGCAGGAAAACTAGTTAGGACATGGTATGGCTGATGCCCTACCTAGAGTTAAAATATAGTGCAGTATATGCAAGAGTAGAAAGCAGGGGAGAAGTAGAAATGTTCTGCTAGAGCAGTGAGAAGGAACAAGAAAGGCATCAAGAGGAGGTAGTGATTAAGCTGAGTGGTGAAGGATGCATGTCTGCTCGTAGGCTGATGTCAGCTGTGGAAGCAGCTGGAGACTAGCATTTTGAATGTGTGCTGTTTATGTCAGGCTCTTGACATACATTATCTCATTTAATTTAATATTTATAACTACTTGGAGAGGTTTGTATGTATTAGTCTCTCCATTGCACAAATAAGAAAATTGGTTCTCAGAGAGCTTACATATTTTGTTGTAGGTCATATTGCTAGTTACTTGGTAAGCTTGGGCAGAAGAAATAACATGTGCAAAAGTATCCAGGTATAAAAAAACATAGTATGTTTCTGCAAGTTGGGACAGATGACCAGAGTGCATGGTATAGCAAAGACAGTGTAGTGAAGTGGATTAGAGCATAGCTCTGGGGCCAGCTTCCTTGTTTTTTAATTTTTTTTTAATTTATTTTATTTTTTGTTGTTGACAATATACACAGCAGAACGTACACGAATTCAACAATTTCTACCTGTACAATTCAGTGACATTGATTATATTCTTCAAGTTGTGCAACCATTCCTACCCTTCTTTCCCAAATTGTTTTTTCCTCTATTAATATAAACTCACTGCTCCCTACGTTTCCTATCTAACCTTTTGAGTTGCTGTTAATAAATTTGATTCCACATAGATAGTTCTTAAGAGAGCACAGTGCTCAAGCCAGACATTCTTTACTAATTAAGTTGAACTATTATTTGGTTTAAAGACTTCGGGGGATATTTCTGGTTTAAAGCTTAAAGATTATCTCAGGGCAGTAGTTTCAGGGGTTCATCCAGTCTCCATGGCTCCATAAAGCCTGGATTTGAATCTCAACTCTGCCACTTTTGGCTGGGAGAGGAGGCAAACAGCTTAACTTTTATCTGCCTCATTTTCCCTATTCATAATATGCAGGTAATCGTGGTATCACCCTATTACTCTACTACCACTGTTACTGTAACAAAAGAAAGTAAAAGGAGATATGGTTGGACAGATAGGAGGAATCAGAGCAGAGAGAACTTTGTATTTAACTAAAAGCTAAATTACCAAGTCATCTAGCTTAATAATGGTAGGATGAGATTTTCTGATTCTTAGCCCAGTTCTTTAACCCTTATCTTAAATACCAGGTTGTCTCCTTTTGCCCTGCCCTATTACATGCCTGCTGTATTTTTTTCTCAGAATTGGCCTTTCAGTGACAGATGAATTAATGCCTTTCACATCTCAAGTTCATCTTAACTATAAAATCCATTAAGTGCTCTTTTGATTAAATTCTAAGAAGTGTCACTTTGGCAAATTATGTCCTTTAAGTGGGTCCAATTTGGTTGTCCTAAAGGTTTGGAAGAAGTCTTTGACTTCCATCTTAAACTATATAAATTCATATAAACTGAGTTCTTGGTGTGAAAATGGCACTTGACAACATAGCACTGAGTTTTCTGGATTTTTGCTACAACAATTTTCTGGATTCTTGCTACAACAAAATGGAATATAATTTATATACTATACAATTCACCCGTTTAGAGTAAATAATTTGATGGTTTTCAGTATATTTACAGAGTTCTGCAACCATCACCACAGTCAGTTTTAGAACATTTTCATTACACCCCAAAGAAATCTTGTATCCACTAGCTGTCACTTCCATTTCCCTTCAACCTTCCCCTCCACCCCAGCCCTAGGCAACCCCCAGTCTACTTTCTGTCCCTACGGATTTGCCTGTCCTGGACATTTCATATTAAAGGAATTATACATGGGCCTTTGTGACTGGCTTCTTTCACTTAGCATAATGTTTTCAAGATTTATCCATGTTGTAGCATGTATCAGTACTTCCCTCCTTTTTATTGTTGAATACTATTCCCTTGTATGGGTATACTACATTTTGTTTATCCATTCATCAGTTGATGGACATTTGGATTGTTCCTACTTTTTAGCTATTAGGAATAATGCTGCTGTGAACATTCATGTTCAGGTTTTTGTGTGGACATGTTTTCACCTGAGATTGATTTTTTTTTTTAAACTGGCCTTGGTCTTGTCCTTGGGTGTCCTTGAGTAAAACTAATGTCAATTTAATTGTGAACTGTGTAAAAATTGATAATGGTTTTCCCTCCTCTGAGATGGTTGAATGTGGGCAGGAAGTGGTTTGGAGAAAAAAGCCACACTGCTTATTGTTACGTCTACTCATAAATCCATGATTTGCAAGTTATTTCAACTATCTTATGAGGGATAACTTCACACTATTAGAGCCCTAATAGCGCAGTGGTTAAGCATTTGGCTGCTAACCAAAAAAGGTCGGCAGTTCGAATCCACCAGCCACTCCTTGGAAACCCTATGGGGCAGTTCTGCTCTGACCTGTAGCGTAGCTATGAGTCAGAATCAACTCGACGGCATGGGTTTATTGACTTTAAGAGAAAAGGGAATTTAGGTTAGGTCCTAGCTCTGCCTGTTTGTCTTGGACAAATGATTCTGTCTATGCCTCATACTCCCACATGTTAATCTGAGTACCATACTTCTTTTATAATGCACATCACACTTTATTTACATCTGTGTTTCCCCTCAGATTATATGTTCATAAACAAACAAAAAAATAAAATACGCCCCCAAAGAAAAAAAACTAACAGTATTTCCTTCTGTAATTTAAATAATTGTGAGAATAAAATGAAAACATAGTCTTAATGAAATATTTTTTAATTTTCTGTCAAAGGTGTTCCATAAATCCAAGATAATAGTATTTCAAATATTCACAACTCTAGTTAGTTAACTAGACTAGAGATGAACAAAATGCAGGAAAACAAGTAACTGGTCTAAAGAACGATGGATCATTGAATTGTTTGTATAACAAAATTTTTAAATTTTTTTGTTAGAAATTTTTTAAAAATACAAAGAAATATAATGAAAATAAGCCATCCTGATTCTACTCCCCAGAAATGTACTCCTTTTTGATATTTTAATATATTTGCTTTTAGTCCTCTTCCTATACATGTTTGTTTATGCAGTTACTATCCTACTGTTTATACAATTTTGTGTTTCCTTTCTTAAAACATTTTTTTTTATTGAAATACAGGCAGTCCTTGGATTACGAACAAGTTCCATTTCTAAGTCTGTCTTTAAATTGAATTTGTACGTAAATCGGAACAGTTAGTCGCAGTTCAGTTCATATCTAAGGTCAGTTAAATGTTTGTCCTAGTATATAGCACTGTATTTTCGGGCAAATAACTTGTGCCTTCTACATTTGTTTGCCAACTGTACCCTCCCCCTGCGAGGTATTTTTGTAGGTAGTGTCTGCTAATTTCTTTTTACAGCAACACGTAAAAAAAAATTGGCATAGCAGGGCTTATGAAAATACCTCTCAGGGGAGGGTGTGGTTGGCAAACAACTATAGATGGCTCACGTTACTTGCCTAAAAATACAGTATATAATGTACATTTCTGTGCATAAAAAACATTAAAGAAACACTTCCAGATACACTAAAACATAATCATAGAGTAATAATAATGTTTTGATTCGTGTAGCAAAGTAGCACTGTTTGTTATTACAAACCATTGTATATACCTCGAATTTTTGATATAATAGGCTTAACGGGGATTGGTTCATAACTGCATTATATAGGAAAAAATAAAACACGAAACTATTCACATCGTACACAAAAAGATCTAAATTGGCCCAGAACCGTTTTTCTTATCTTTTTTTTTAAAAATATTGTTTTTTTTCCCCACTGCTTGGTAGTGCCACCTTTGTCATAAATCAAGAGTCGTATATTGATATTCTCTTCAGTTCTTTTAGTCTATTTACCTATCCTTGGGTCAATATCACACTGTCTTAGTTACCTAATGCTGCTATAACAGAAATACCGCAAGTGAATGGCTTTAACAAACAGAAATTTATTCTGTCATAGTCTAGTAGGCTAGGAGTCTGAATTCAGGGCACCAGCTCCAGGGGAAGGCTTTATCTCTCTGTCGGTTCTGGAGGAAGGTCCTTGCCATGAATCTTCCTCTGGACTAGGAGGTGTCTCAGCACAAGGACCCTATGTCCAAAGGATGCGCTCTGCTCCTGGCATTAGTTTCTTGGTGGTATGAGGACCCCCATCTCTTTGCTTGCTTCTCTCTTTTATATCTTAAAAGAGATTGACTCAATACAGAACCTAATCTTATAGATTGAGTCCTGCTTTATTAACATAACTGCCTCTAATCCTGCCTCATTAACATCATAGAGGTAGAATTTATAACATAGGAAAATCACATCAGGTGACAAAATGATGGACACTCAAAATTCTGGGGATCATGGCCTAGCCAAGTTGACACACATGTTTGGGGGACACCGTTCAATCCATGACACACTTTTTTTTTTCTTCATGATAATCCTGGCATTCTTATTCCTTTGTATTTCCATATAAATTTTAGATTCAGCTTGTTAAATGAGAAACAAAAATAAACTTCCTAGTATTTTGAGGAGGCTTATATAGACTATATAGATTATTTTGGGGAGAGCGCTTATCTTTAGAATATTAAATCTTCCAATCTCTATGACATCTCTATATTTAATTAGGTCTTCTTTAAATTGTCTCAATACTGTTTCCTAGGTTACTATAAAGAGGTCTGGTACATTTTTCATTAGATTTATTCCTAGGTACTTGATACCTTTCATATTATTTTAAATAGTATCATTTTAAAATGCGTAATTTTAAAATTTTTATTGCTAGTATATAGAAAAAGCAATTGATTTCTGTGTACTGATCTTCTATTCAGAAATCTCGACAGGACCACTTATTAATTATAATGATTTATCTACAGATTGTTTTGGATTTTCTACATAGATGGTTGTATTGTCTATAAATAATGACAGTTTTATTTTTTCCTTATCAATCCTTATGCCTTTTATTTCTTTTATTTTACCTTATTGTACTGGCTATGTCCTCTAGCCCAGTCTTGAATAGAAGTGGTGATGGTACACATTCTTGTCTTGTTTTCCATCTCATAGGGAAAGCTTTCAACATTTCACTTTTAGGTATGAGCTTGCTACTTGTTTTTAAACATCTTTATGAGATTAAGGAAGTTCTCTTATATTCTTAGTCTGCTAAGAGGCTCCCCCCTGCCATTTGTCTCTCAACTTTATTGACAAATAATCGATGTACAATAAACTGCACATATTTAAAGTGTACAGTTTGATTAGTTTTGACATGTGTACATCTGTAAAAACATCACAGTCAAGATGATGAACATTTCTGTCACCATTTCCTGGTACCCTTTTGTAACCCATCCCTCCCTCTGTCTTGTCCCCAGGCAATCACTGATATGCTTCCTCTCACTATAATTTAGTTTGTATTTTCTATAATTTCACATAAATGGAATCATATATATTCCTTTTTTGTCTGGCTTCTTTTACTCGGCGTAATGATTCTGAGATTCATCCATGTTGCTCGTATATCAATAGTTTGTTCCCTTTTATTGTTGATTGTAATCCATTGTATGTCTATACCACAATTTGTTTATCCAAATAATGGACATTTGAGCAGATTCCAGTTTTTTGCTATTATAAATACAGCTACTATGAACATTTGTGTACAAGATTTTGTATGGACATATGTTTTCTTTCTCTTGGGTAGCCACTTAGGAGTGGTAGGTATATGTTTACATTTTAAATGGAGATGTGAGTGAGAATCTGAAGAAAGAATTGTCAGCTTTTCGATGAAATAGCTATGTTTTGGGTCAGAATAACTAGGAAAGTTTTAAGCAAGAAAACTGAAACTATCTTCAGTTTAAAATATTTGCTTCTCATTTTTAAACCAGCATTGACAGTTCTTCCTTTTCTGCCAGGTATCTCAGGTAGTTTGAACTTCGATGAGGAGGAAACTGATGGGGAGGAAGAAGAAGGAAAAAAATTAAGATCCCATTCACCAAATTCAGAAACAGGAAGACCCAGTTCTGCATCCAGCCAGAAATCAACCACAGTATGTAGCTCTGAAACGTCTTTGCCTTTGGAGCTGATTTGACCATTTCCCAAACGTATTTTCAGTATTAAATACAACTACTGAATGAGAGTTCCTTCAAATGATTTAAGCATGAATTTAGACTTAAAGTTCATGACCTTTAATGTCTTGTCTCAAGTCAACTTCGTGAGGCTATGTCCCTCTTTTCATATTTGGCTCCTTCATTACTCCCAGTATTTCTATCTTTATTTAACTTTTTGGTTTCCCCTCATTTTATCAGAAGACTGAAGACATAGGAGTAAATCAGTAAGTTTTTTTGCCCATTAAATGTTTCTCACAGAAAATAATAAGATTTTTCTGACCGGCCTCCCATTGCTCATATATGGCTGTTCCTTCAGGATACAGGAGCTTCTGGTACTGCAACCCAACAGGCTGATAACCAGCTGGGAGAAGTGGAGAATTTAGAGGAGTTTGCATATAGTCCTGCCCCTCGAGGCATCACGGTAAAGTGTCGGATAACCAGGGATAAAAAAGGAATGGATCGGGGTCTCTTCCCCACCTATTATATGCACTTGGAAAAAGATGAAAATCGGAAGGTATGAGAATTGATTCCTTGGACAAATCTTGAGGCAGAGGGGAAGAATGTTGTGGGAGTAGACTGTTGATGAGCCTTATGATAAGGAAATATCCCTGGTATTAAGCCAGGTCAGCTGGAAGTAGATTGTGTATATTAATTTCCAGATGTTGTGTTCTTACTGTCTTCAAAGAGCTCGTAGTCTGATAGGCAAGACCCTTCCCTTCCTCTCCCCCTAAAAAGAAAAATAGTTTTATCCAGAATGGAAGAGAATGTTTGAATGTAATTATTTTCACCTCCATCCATTGCTTATTTTTGGGGTATTACTGTGTGCTCTTTGTTTTTTATTCTTATTATAGTAGAACATGACATTATGGAAGAAAGCAAGCAAGTTTTAGGGAATACAAGGAATTAGAAATATAGAAAAACATGCAAGTTAAATTAAATGTCTTATTCCTTACTCTAGAAATACTAATTTGTTTTATACATAAGTTTGAGGCCATTTAATACTTGCTGATGAACAACTTATTTTGTATTAACACCAGATAGATGTAAGTGGATGACTTTAATAGCCTAGAAATGAGGTAATGATAATAGGTATCATTGTTATTATAGCCACTATTTATTGAATGTTTACTATGTACCAGGCAGGCGCTAAATGCTTTGTATATATTATTACCTCTAATCTTTATAACAACCTTGCAAGGTACGATTTCTTTTTTTTTTTAATAATATTGTGTTCTAGGTGAAAGTTTACACAGCAGGTTAGGTTCCCATTTAACAAATTTTATACAGATTGTTCCGTGACATTGCTTATAATTTTCACAATGTGTCAGCATTTTCATTTCCATTCTGCTTGTTCTGTTTCAATTGATCTAGCTTCCCATCCCCTCCTTGCGTTCTTATCTTTGCTTTTGGGTAAATGTTGACTGTTATGGTCTCATATAGTTGATTGTTTAAGGAGTGCATTTCTCACGGGTGATATTGTTTATTTTATAAGCCAGTCTATTATTTGGCTGAAAGGTGACCTCCAGGAGTAGCTTCAGTTCCAAGTTCAAAGGTTATTTTAGGATGATAGTCTTGGGCATTCCTCTAGTCTCTATCAGTCCAGTAGGTCTGGCCTTTTTTATGAATTTGAATTTTGTTCTATATTTTTTTCCTATCCAGGACCTTCTATTGTGTCCCTGATCAGAACGGTGGTAGTGGTAGCCAGGCACCATCTAGTTCTTCTGGTCTCAGGTCAGAAGAGGCCCTGGTTTGTGTGGGTTATCAGTCCTGCGGACTAGTTTCTTCTTTGAGCAAGGAAGAATTTCTTATCCTCATTTTATGGATGAGGTAACTGGGGCTAAGAGATTTTACCTGCCCAAAATCACACTAAGTGGCATAGCCAGATTCAAAGCCACTTCTGTTTGATTCTAAACTCTTAGCCATTGCCACTCCCTTAATTCCCTATTATTGTTCAGTTCTAGCGGAGTTTAGGAAGGGTGCATAAAGATGACAGTATTCATATCACTGAAATCACAGGGTTTTAAAACAACAACAAAATACAAAATACAGCAAAGGAGTATTACGACAGTCACAGTAAAGGATGAGAAGGTGTCTAGGATCCAGTCTCCTAAAGTTGGGTAGACTCTTATTTATGGCATTGGATGAAGCTTTTTAAAGAGTCACTGGTGGTTTTGGGGATAAAGTTGTAAGCAGTTATATGAAGAATTAAGCTAGTGAACTTAGAAAAACTGTACAGAAAGGAAACCCTGATAGTGAATTCTAAGAAGCAGAGTGAGAGTTAGAAAAGGGGAAAAAGACCCAAAGATTGACTGCTTGGCACAGATATACATTTGCTAAATATTTGTTGAATGAATGGGTAGAACAAAGCTTGGGGTTTCTCTTGACTTCATTTTTGACTGACACTTTCTTTTTCTAGATATTTCTTCTTGCAGGTAGAAAGCGGAAAAAGAGCAAGACATCCAACTACCTTATTTCCACTGATCCAACAGATCTGTCTCGTGAAGGGGAAAGTTATATTGGCAAACTCAGGTGAGAGTGGCTTGTATCGCTGTCCTGTCCTTTCCGATACTTGTATTCCTGTGGTCAGAGTGGGTCTGACTACAGAATGCTTGGTACAGATAGAGGCTAGTTTCTGAAGGAGCCAGCTAACTTAGACCTTTTAGGACTGCATAAGGCTCATAGCAAAACCTGTGAAAGAGAGTAAAAAACAAAAGAAAATGATAAATGAAGCTCATGAATGTGCATGTAGAGACCCTATGTCAAAATCTTAGCAAATCAAATTCAGTGTGTATTAAAAGAATTAAAAAATCACCATCAATCCAGGAATGGAAGGATTGTTAAACATTAGGAAAGCAATTAATGTGTTTTTTCATTTTAATAGATTAAGGGAGAAAAAATATATAGCCATATCAGTATGATATGAGTAACATTTGATAAAAGTAAATAGCCATTTCTAAGAAAAGCACTTAGGAAAAAAGGAGTAGAAGAAAATTTCTTAACTTGATAAGGAATATTTATTAGAAACCAAAGGTAGACATTAGGTTTAATGGTGAACACAAAAGGTTTTCACATCATAATCAGGACAAAAGAAGTAGATGCCTGAAACAGACTTTTACAAAGGCATATACATTTGGGAAAGGAAGAAAGAAAATTATCGTTTGCAGATGATGTGACCGTATATCTAGAAATCCAAGACAGTCAACTAAAAAACTTTTAGGACTAATAAGAGTTCAGTGAGGTTGGCAAACAAAAGATCAACATATAAAAATCAATAGCTTTCCTGTATACCCAGCAATAACCAATTAGAAAATGTAAATGTGACCTTTTTCCATTATAATAACAATGCACTATAAGATACCTAGGAATAATACTAACAAGAATATTCCTGACTTAATATGGAGAAAGCCTAGCACAGGAAGAAGCAAATAGATCCATGGAGAGAATGTATATCCATGGTCTCCTCCTTGAATATATCCTTAGCTCCCTTACCTGTTTTTTCTCCATCATACTTACTTGGCAAAATCTCACACCTGGTTAAACCAAACTCTCAAAAAGGGACAGGAGCTGGCTGAATGGACAGGGGAAATCCGAGCTGGAAAGGAGGAGTGTGCTGTCACATTACAGGGAGAGCAGCTAGGGTCACATAGCAATGTGTGTTTAAATTTTTGTATGAGAAACTGACTTGAACTGTAAACTTTCACTTAAAGCACAATTAAAAAA